CCAAGGTTCGTGGGCACGGAATGTCAGAGGCGGAGGACCGTCTTCCTCTTTTGGGTTTCCCACTTGCCGTTCGACCTGTGGGTTTTTCGTCTCGGCTTCTGCGCGCAGTACCCTGGCGGGTCTCGCTGGGTTGGGCTGCAAGTTGGTTTCGCCATGCTGTCTTTTGGACTGATGCAGGTGCCCTCCATCGGGTTCAACTACGTAAGTGGCTCGCCCATGATTCACGTCTGGCTACAAAAGCAGGAGGATTGTTACTAATGCCGTGTTCCCAGCTCATCGATGCGTACACTGTCGCCGCGTCAGACTGCTTCACCGTGGCCACGATTATCCGTTCTTGCATCGCCTTTGCCTGGACTTTCTTTGTCTCGGACTGGGAGCACCATAGTGGCCCGGCTGAACCTTTTGGCATCTTTGGCATGCTCATGGGTCTCTTCTCCCTGACGACCATTCCTCTGTGGCTTTATGGCAAGAGGCTCAGAATTGTAACAGCCCCCATGATCCAGAGGTGGATGTAGGCTATTTGCAGCTGAAGCCACGAGCACTGCTTTTTCCGTTATTGCCTAGAGGAATCGCCAGGAGGAGGCATCACAGGGGGCACGCTATCTTGGAAATGATATGGTGCCTCGAGGGCCCCTACAGAGAGGCGTCTGATGGAGCGGGGAGGAAAGGCTTGTGATGGTTACCTCGTATTGCTCTATGATTCACACTGCGACTATATAAATGCGGTTGCTGGGACGTCTATGGGTACTAGAATATCGAAAGTATCGCAATCTTGAAGCACGCCATCTACCCCTTGGGTCTGTCTTCCATCCTGCCCGGGCTCGTACATAGGTCCATTTTGCCGACATCAGTCCCACTTCTTCCAGTCCATGGGAAACCCTTTGAGAGCTGGATTCTCATCGTAGGCGCAGTCAAACCCTTCGTCTCTGGCTTCCTGCGGCATGGACTTGACGAGATGGCCGGTAAAGTCATCCTCATTCGCCCATGCCATGTGAGCACTCCCCCAATCCTGAGATCTGAACTTCTCCTGCCAGTCGCTCGGCATGAGCAGCATACTGATGAGACCGCCACGAATCCAAACGCCCCTCTCATTCTCCTGGCCCTCGTAGTCGTCGCTGTCCTTGGCGAAGCGGAAGCAGTGCGTGCGGGCACCGTCCTTGTGAAAGACAACCTTGGGGTGCATGGCCACGCTCGTCGGCATGGGGTCCCACGCAGGATACGGGAACTCCTTTGGCGTGTAGTCGAAGCGAAGCCTCTGGTCTTCGGCGACGCGGTTCTCGTAGCCGCCGTGTTGCGAGACGGACACGCCGCGGACTTTGCCCTCCTTGGCCCAGACGACGACGTGCTCCCAGTCGTGGCGGTGGTTATAGCCGCTGACGGGCCACGACCAGGCCCAGTCCATCTGGAAGTAATAGGCGTAGACGAAGGCGCACCACCCCCGGTTGCAGCGGCCCCTGACGTACACGTTGGTCCGGTCGAGGGCGGAGCGGGGACGGCACGGACCGACGTCGTCGGAGGGTGAAAGGCCCTCGGATGGGGTTCCATCTATGGTCATGGCGGGCACGCTGTAGCAGCTGTCCGTGTCGAAGTCCACCAGCGGCTGGAACTTGACTTGAAAATAGTAGGCGAAGTCGTGGCCGTCCACGATGGGTTCGAGGGCTTGACTCTCGCTGAGGATCCGACTCGAGTTGCTCTGGCGGCGCATGGCCGAGGCAGTCGATGGCGCGGACAGCACCATGGCGGTGACTACAGCGATATTTCGAAGGGAAAGCATCTTTGAATATAGCATGCGTTGACTCTATATACCTTGAATTATTTGCAGAAGGATAAGGCTCGTGAAGTATGAGATTGGAGTGTAGCAATGGGGAAAGAACCTGGATCTCAGTGGGCTTGGTGGGCTCGACTTATATACAACATCAGCGGGTTCACATGAGAGCCCTCTCGAGATCTTTCTTTCAGCTTGAATTAGACGAAGCAGTGAGTTCGGGCAACTCCGTGTTCTGGTCGCCGATTCCTTTGCAACTTCACGGCCGCTGGCCCACCACCGGCCGGTTGCCTCCATCTGAATGCAGACATGCTGTTGCATAGCCCTGCCGCAGGAGCCCGTTGCTGTCGAGCTTTTCGGTCGAATAAGTTTCTCAGCTCCGTTTGTTCATTATCGATGCCACAGCCCCCCGTCTTACCGCGTCGGCGAAGTGGTACCACTGCTGACTGAGCGCTGCCTCTGCGTACTTAGACCTTCAGCTGAGTGGCCGTCACGCCTGGTCGCGGCCAACGAAATCAGCTTCCGTATTGACGAGCTGCAGCCATATAAGTAATTGTATTTTTCGGCGATCCCGTTTAACGGGCCGACAATGTTGCAAGGGGGTGAGTCTACGGGAGAGGCCAGTCTTGCGAAAAGACAAATTCGTTTGCTCAAGGCGTTCATCCAACTACCTTTCTCAGCCGCAGAACATGGAAGAGCCTTCTTGCGTAAAGAATCCAGAGATTCCACGGTCAGAACAAATGCCGACAGACCAAGTACCCGCATTGATAGCCTCTTTAGCGGCTCGTCCGCGGATGAATGTCTAGGAGTGGCATCTGCCTTGTCGTTGCTCAGGATGGCAACATCTGCAAGCGCATTCACCATGTCCTTATTTCACACCCGGTTCAGTACTTCCAAGCGTAGACCTTTAATGCCGGGGTGGTCAATCTCATGGTGATCGAGGCAATTGATGTTGCAAGGGCGCTGCGATTGAGTGCAGTATACAGCCAAGTGCTAAATGCCCTTAAGGCCTTGGAAGCTTGAAGACCTCTAAGCTTCAGGGGCTATACTTGCTGAGCGAGGTAGACTAGCGGGTACGTTCAACATGAATAGCATGGTGACATGATTTCCACACCCCAACATCGACAGATAATACAATTCCGCCAAAGACCTCAGTATTCAATTGACAGACGGACTATTACCGCACGTCCCAGCGCTGCGAGAAAGAGTAGAGAACGAGGGGAGGAATTGACCAGGCGTGAAGCTCCGGCCAATTCTCCCTGAACACGTGACGTCATCCCCAAGCACAAATGCAAAGAATGAGCAAGACCACTAATAAATGAGATCACCTCTCGACAGCCCCAACGACGGCACTTCATGGCCGCCTCTGGTTGATCCCAGATTCTCAAAAATACATCCATCCCCAACCTCCACCTCCACCTTGAATGTCTCTCGCCAATCTCAGAAGATCCCTCCTCATGACTCGGGTGCCAACAACCACAGCCGTCGTCCGCGGCGCCAGCGTCAACATCGTCCTCAAGGCCGACCAGCCAACAGGCCGAACAGTTTCCGGCGCCGTCCAGGATGTGCTCACCCGCGGCAACCACCCCCGCGGGATCAAAGTCCGCCTCACCGACGGCAGGGTCGGCAGGGTCCAGTCCATGGCCGGCGCGGCGCTGCAAGCCGGGTCTCAGCCCGCCGCTTCTGAGGTGGCAGTGCCCCCCGACGCAGCCAGCTGGGCGCCCACAACATCCACCAGAGGTCCAGCCCGTCAGCGCGGACCCCGCGACTACCGCGACGAGCCGGAGCGCCCCTCGCATACGATAGGCCTGGATGCGTATATCAAGCCTGCAAAGACGAAGCGCAAGGGCAGGGGCGGCCCGTCTCCTGCCGGAGCTGTCGATCCAGCGCCTCCGCCCAGCGAGGATGGGTTTCAGTCGAATCCGGCCGTTGAGCGTGCGGAGGCTGGGGTTGTAACCTGTCCAGTCTGTGGTGCGTTTGAGGGGGATGCTGCTGCTGTCGAGCATCATGTTGCAAGCCACTTTGACTGAGGCTCACCCATCCAAGCTTCGTAATACGTCGAGCAAAGCCTCTCGTTGGAGACGTCACGGTCCAGCTTGGCATGGCTACAATTCCCCGATGGACGCCACTGCTGAGCCGGTCTGGCTGTGCGTTGGTCCGGCATACAGGCGAAGCCGAAGCCTGCGGGCAGTTGAACGAGCCGTGCCGGTACTGCAAACAGTGCCTTCGGGGTGTTCGTTGGCTCACCGTCCACAAATCCCTTACTGAATAGCAGTGGCGTGGAGCTTGAGCCCAATCACGGTACTCATCCGGTCAATACGACCCGCGACGAATGACTGTATGTAATTCCAGAAATGACTTCTTTGAGCACAGGTACTGACCCTGATGCAAGGAGTGGCTGCGTTTCATCTTGTGGAGGAGGCACCTCAACGAAACATAGGGGAACACATTTTAGCTCAAACGCAGTCCTCGGGAATGCAGCAAGCAACGGCCGTCCAGAGTACCCCTGACTGACAAAAGAAATGACGAGAAGCCGGGGCGCATTCGAAAGCGGACCTTCTAAAGGCCTTGTTTTCGGCAGCAAGGTAGATAAGCCCCAGATAGGCGGCCAAAAGGACACCCGCATGCTCGCAGGTACTTGGCTTCGTCTCAGCAGTTCAGGGCAGGAAAGGGTTCATTTATCGGACAATCATCA